CATAAATGTGTCTAACTGCAATTATTGTATGATCATAATAGCTAGAATAAATTTGAAAAAAGATTTGAATAGCTGAAAGAATTTCCGATCTCAGGTGGCGTATACAAAGGCTCTATCAAAACTCCTGAAATCAGGGTCTCTGAAAAACTAAAATCTCAGAAAACCAAGTTCCAGAGTTCAATCCAGAAATTCTTTGCAAATAAGTCTGTCGTATAGAGCAAACATTTTCTGAAGAAAATGAGATGTCTCCGAGCTGTTTATGGCATTTTCTCATGAAGCAGCATTCAATTTACGGAAAGCTCCATAGCAGCAAAACTAACGGAAAAACAAGAAGATACGCCCTTAGGGCCTTTTGTAAATTGATTCTTGCTCCAGGAGAAAATGTCGTAAACAGCTCGGAGACGTCTCAATTTCTTTAGAAAGGTTTGCTCTACACGATGGACTTATTTGCAAAGAATTTCTGGATTGAACTCTGGGACTTGGTTTTCTGAGATTTGAGTTTTCTAGAGACCCTGATTTCAGGAGTTTTGATAGAGCCTTTGTATACACCACCTGAGATCGGAAATTCTTTCAGCTATTCAAATCTTTTTTCAAATTTATTCTGGCTATTATTATCATGCAATAATTGCAACTAGACGTATTTATGTGTCGCCGGGAGCCAAAGGGTTAAGAATGAAAATAATTCTCTCTCATTTCTCTTTCGCTGTTCTTCATATTTCGTACTCTCTGTTCTATTATTCTCTCTAATTATTTCTTTTAAAGTAGCTAAAATAGAAAATCAGCGTGAAAGTGATGCGGTGGAAATCCACTGACTGAATCGATCGAGAACAATTACTCTCTAGTTTTCTTTTTTTCTCCTATAGCGATTACCTTCCCAGTAGTTAATAGCGTTAGTAGGCTCTCATTTTCGAAGAACAAGCAAAAGAAAAAAAGTGATGCCGGACAACAAATACTGGGAAATTTTCTAAGCCTAAAACACATTTTTCTTCCACTTACTGGACCGCGCAACGGTCAATCTACAGTGCCCAAAGGACGTCATCCCGTTTTCAGGATGTTTCTACGTCTCATAGTTCTCTATATCATATTGCTCACATTTTGCAAAAAAAGTGACTAAACAAAAAAAAAAAAGATAAAATCCCTGCAAAAACACATACTGTCTTTCAACATAATAATCAATAAACCTAAAGAACAACAACAATAAATAGATAGAGAAAATGCATCGAGTAATTTATTACAAGTGTGAGAGTGTTATTGATTTTTCTTGGATGTTAGCGATTGATTCATGGTGTACTTTGCAAATATCTCATAAAAACCATTATATAATACGTCTTCATAAGAAATTTTCTGTTCCTATAAACAAATGTGATAAATCTTATGTATCAACTACCACCTAAACAATTCTATCGTTTATTATAGAAAATATCATCCTGGTCTAATCGTGCATGTGCAGCATTCGAACGCGTTGTTCTATTACGAAATTCACAAGATAAATTACTTTATGTATTATGCGACAGCAAGCAACTTGTCATTCAAATTGTTATCTTTTATAATTATTACAATCATTATTATCGATTATATCAAGCACCAAATAAATATCATTTACCTTACAAATCCTATTTTGATCAGTATAATGCCATTTATGATTTCTTCAATTTATCAAGGATCATTTTTGACGATACAATCGTTTTTATACCACATCGACGGATGGATTTAGTTCATTTTTTAACTCAAATAAATTCTTCTCGTCTGATTGATTGTAATCGAACATCTACACGTTTATTTAATAAACAATATCCAAACAGTACCATAATAACAATGGAACAAATCAGAACATATCAAGAAATTATTGTTAAACTAAAAATATTATTCAAACATTTTCATATTCCATTTTTCATTTATAGTGGTACTCTACTTGGCTGGTATCGTCAATGTTCATTTATTCCGTATACAACTGATATTGATTTTGCTACCTTTTCTCAATTTGCATCTAATGAAACAACTGAACGATTGGGTAATAAAAGTTTAGAACTCGATTTACCTCTCGTACATATTTTTGGATTATCAGAATATGCTTTTGAATACCGTTTTTCGACGACATTGTCCATTGATTTATTTTTCTTGTAGGATAATATTAAAACAAACAAGTTGATTACTTATGTACACTACGATAAGTTCTATTATGATTTGACTTATCTACTTATCGATAACTTGTGTGCTACAGACTATCTGGGATTCAAAATAAATGTACCATGCAATGCTTTTGAACATATCATTGCTAACTATGGTAAAAAATGGTGGGAACCCATACATGATGCTGTTTATGCTCCAATCGGATCAAATACTGGACTCGAGTTGAATTGGCCATATCCATGGCATGATGGAACTTTTGAAGATTATCTAATACAACTTCATAATGACACTGGAGAATAGTGGAAATTCCATTTATCAATAAACTTTTAGTTCTAATAGTTAACGGCATCCATCTTGATATCGTTGACAATAAATTCTAGCCATATGTCAAGCCTAAGTAGGTTCTTCTTTTGGAAAAAATAATTTCAAATAATACAAAAACATATTTCACGAGTGACATTCAAAAGTGTGTGAAATACGAACAAGTGTTGTTTAGTTGAAAGAATAATCTTTTCGAAAAAACCAGTGAAAACTAGTATTAGGTGAAATAATTCATTCTGGACTATTTTCACATAAAATTAAAAAATCTGTAACTTTAAACTACTTCAGAATATTAAGATATATTTTGTCTTACTTGTGCTATATCATGAAGTTCAACAAACTTTTCAAAATGAACACAAAATACTTTGGTTTTGTTTGTTTGTTTATTTGCAAATTAAAGACATCTCGATATCTAAGCTGATCGAGTCGCGATACATTCAACATAGATTAACGACAAAAAAAGGCGAAAGAGAACAATAAACTGCAAGCTAAGGTTGAGACGCTGTCCACAAATCTAAAAATGCCTCGTGATAGCAGAAAAAAATTTGTAATTCGGGTTTTATAGTCCGAAAGCACCGTCGGAAGAAATTAAAGGAATGACGGTAGGAAAGCAAAAATTCAGTGGAAAGAGAAAAAATATGCCGATATCGACGTATTAATAGGCTTTTCTGTTGATTAGTGGTACCAGAATCTAAAATTGTTTTGTACTTGTGCCATGTTCGGACTAGTGCCACCGAGTCAGTCAAGTCAGGCAGCACTAGTAAATATTTTATCCAGTAAGAAAAAACTCAGTCCAAAAAAGTTCTTTCCTCCGATAGTGAAAAAAAGTCGATGGTACTTAAATAATAACACCCGTAAACACGCTTCAAATAAAAGGCAAAAAGGCTGCAAATACGTTCTTGCTGTCGAGAAGTAAAATAAAAGAATAGTGGGATGAT